CCCAAAAAAAAAAAAAAAAAAACTAAGCAAAGATCAGTATCTTTTTGAGAAGTTGAGAAGTACAAATCTTACATTTGATAGGATCCTTCCACAATCCTATCCAGAATGCAATATTCTGGATCTTCAACTAGTAAGGCAAATTGCTCTAAATGTAGAATTCTGATTCCAAGGTTCACTTGGAAGTTCAGATATTGTTTTTAATAGAATAGCACTTGAAATTTGCCTCTCTTTGTCACCTATTTGTTAATTAGAATAAAGTGATTTTAAAAAAAAAAAGGTAACTAACAAAATAAAGAGTAGAGTGTTTATCACATAGTAAATACTCAGAAGTCTCAGCATTACTCTGCTCAGGCATTATGTACATTCTCTTTAAAATTATGGAGTTAAGTATTCAAAAATTGGCCAGGCGTGATGGTGTGCCTTTAATCTCAGCCCTAGGAAGACAGAGGCAGGCAGATCTCTGTAAGATCAAGGCCAGCTTGGTCCACATAGTGACATCTAGGTATGCTGGGACTAGGGAGACCCTGTCAACAACAAGCACCAGAAAAAACCCAAGTATTTAAGAATTGAGGTTATTGCCTGGAGTGGCAGTGCACGCCTTTAATCCCAGCACTTGGGAGGCAGAGGTAGGCGAATCTCTGTGAGTTCGAGGCCAGCCTGGTCTACATAATGAGTTCCAGGTCAGCTGGGGCTACAGGGAGACCCTGTCTCAAAAAACCAAAAAAAAAAAAAAAGAATTGAGGTTATTAGGCTTTAACCTTGCCACTAGTCACTCTAAAACCCAGCCAAATCTTACCTTTGCATGAATATGAATCTTCTCATTAGTAACCTGGAGAACTTCAATCAGTGGTGAAGTCAGGGGCCTTGCCTGTTTCAATGGAGACTGAAGAACCTCTTCAATAAACTCATTAACATTTTCTTCATTGACAAACAATCTTTCCTAAAATAAAAAGGGAAAAGATATTCTACCTTACAGGTCACACAACACAGTTGTACCAAAAGCAGCTCACAAAAATACTTACATAATTCAGGGTTACATTTCTTAAATGTTTATCTGGTCATTCCTAAGTGCTGCCTTGAAAAAGAAAATCTAGTATTATCCAGAACAATATTATTATACAAAAAGAACATATTTATTTTAAAAATGAACCTGCATGCCAAGCATACGGTACATGCCTGCAATCTCAGCATTTAGGAGGTGGATGTCAGAATGTCAAGAGTTGAAAGTCAGCCTGTAATCCAGTATTTAGGAGGCAGGTAACAGGAGTTGAAGGTCGTCATCCATTCTCAGATACAAAATAATAAGGGCAGCCTGGACAATATGAGATCCACATCCAAAAATAAGGAGGGGCTGGAGAGATAGTTCAGTGGCTAAGAGCACAGGCTGCTCTTGCCGAGGCCCTGGGTTTGGTTCCCAGCCCCATATGGCAGCTCACAACCATCAGTAACTCTAGTTCCAGCGGATTTGACACCCTCTTCTGACTTCCATGGGCATTTCACACACAGGTGCACTTACATACATGTATGCAAAACACTCACACTCATAAAATAAAAATAAATTAAAAATATACAGAAAATTTGCACTAATTCTAATGACTGATTTTATTATAAATGTTGCTGAATTCATTGACAAAATTCTAGGAACACTCTCAGTGACTATTTAGTGTTTAAATAAATATACTTTTTTTTTTTTTTTTTTGGTTTTTTTTGAGACAGGGTCTCTTTGTAGTCCCAGCTGTCCTAGAACTATGTAGACCAGGCTGGCCTTGAACTCAGAGAGATCTGCCTGCCTCTGCCTCCCAAGTGCTGGGATAAAAGGCATGAGCCACCACGCCTGGCCATAAGTATACTTTTAAAAAATTATTTTACTTATAATTTTTTATTTTATGTGTATGAGTGTGTACTGATGTCAATGCAGTGTCCTTGAAGGTATCAGATCTCCTGGAACTGGAGTTATAGATGGTTGTTAGTTGCCATGTGGGTGCTGGAAATCGAACCTAGGTCCTCTGCAAGAGCAGTCAGTGCTCTTAAACCATTGAACAGATCATCTCACGGTCCCATTTATTTACTTCTTAAAAAATATAAAGTAAGAGTTTTTGCCTTGAAAGTCATAAGTCTCTCTATGAATGTTTTACTAAAAAACATGATATATATTAATATAATACTCATAATAAAAATGATTACTACATAACATTATATGTCTCAGTCACTACTCCTAATTTTCTTTTTGTTTTTCTTTGACACTGGGTCTCACTTTATAACCCAGGCTGCCCTCAAATTCATAATCCTCTTGCCTTCAGGCTCCTGAATGTTGAGATTAAAGGTTTATGTCACCAAACCCAATACTTAGGGCTTGATACAGTATAAAACAAAGGGATATTGTGGTCCCAACAGCTCTAGCACATGTGATGATTAATGGTATAATCAAGTTAAGGCTTCAAAGACAGAAAATGCAGTTGCCTTAATCCCATTTGGATTTAGGTTACTTTTTTTGGCTAAACTGTTAGCATATTGGGCCAGCCTTGTCTACATATCAGTACAGCCTGGTCCACATAGTGACTTCCAGGCTAGGCTGGGATTAGGGGAGACCCTGTCCAAAAAAAAAATCCGATTAAAGTATATCTTGAAGAGTTTCTTAACTGATTATCCACAAAAGTTTTCTTCTCATATTTTTCTTTTCTTTTTATTTGTTATTTATTTATTTATTATTATTATTATTATTATTTTACTTCTTGAAACAGGGTCTCCCTCTAGCCCCAGCTGGCCTGGAACTCACTGTGTAGACCAGGCTGGCCTTGAACTCACAGAGATCCACCTGCCTCTGCCTCCCAAGTGCTGGGACTAGAGGCGTGTACCACCACAAATGACTTTCATATTTTTATTTTCATACTTATGACAATTACAGGAAAACCACTGCCTGTTTCTAAGTTTCCGTTTTCTGATGACATAAGCAGATACTCAGTTTCATGTTTTACAGTTTATTATAGTCTCATAATTACCCTACCTAATCCAACTAGTTATATTGCCAGTTTTGGAGGCTTCAAGTTAACTATTTTCCATAGATACTCGACTCTACAGATGTAAATTATGTAAACTTCTAGAAACACCCAACAGAATGAAGTGGAATTTTCTGGTAGACTTGAGGTCAAATACTCCATTTTCAATAATCTGTGTAACTAGTGGGGTTTTTGAGAACTTGACTTCCCCCTCAGTCCCCCAGCAAGCACCCTGCCACTGAGCTACACCCTAGTCTTACTGAACTCCTCCATACTCCAGCCTCAACCCCTAGTTCTGGGATTATAGACATGGACCACCAGGTCAGGCTACCAACTATTGTCATTAGAACTTAAATCTTAGCCAGGTGTGGTGTCGCAGGCCTTTAAATCCCAGAACTCAGGAGGCAGAGGCAGGTGGATCTCTATGAGTTCAAGGCCAGCTTGGTCTACATTAGTTCCAGGGAGACCCTGTCTCAAAAGAAAAAAAAAAAAAGGAAAGAACTTCAATCTTTAAAGTAGCTTTTCCCCAAAAATCTGCCATAAGAGTAGAGTACTGAATATGAACTTCAAGACCCTGAAAAACCTAAAAAGCGTAGCTGAACTATGGTGGGCTTATATATACTTAGCCAGTACCAGTGTTTGCCCAGGAATGAATGTATCTAATGTAGATGCTGCTCGGTCAACAACTATTAACCATACTTTGTTAAATGCCGCCATGTGCTAAATACTTATGGGGTCCTAAGAATGACTAAAACTAGAAATTTTCAGTGTAATTATACCACCCACCAGAGAACCCCACTGAAAATCAGCTAAAATTAAGCAGCTCCACATAGTCAAAAGGGAATGGGATTTAGGGTCTTAACCCAAGGTTTTGTACTTAGTTAAGCAAATGCTGAGCTAAATCCCCAAGTCCTGCTCAGGGCTTAAATTTACACCTACTTGAGTTTTTCTCATGTAATTGTGGCCCTGGCTGGGCAGCATTTCCTCACTACTTACACCTATTGCTAAGCTCAGAAGAAATGCTTCCTCAAGCCGAAGTATGGCCACTTTGGGGTGCTTTTTGGTACTTGGTCATAAATCCCTTTGAGAATGAACAGTTATAGCCCTTTTCCTTCAGGAGACAAAACTCTCGACTTTTTGCAGATAATCCCAGAAGTCTGGGAACTACTGAAATCCAGTATCCTTCTGAGTTGGTGGACCCCCCCCCCCAAAAAAAAACCCAGCTACATTAGGGATGAAACCCATCCACTAGAGAGAATGTGTGTAAATTTTCTTTTTGAACAATTTTATTTATTTATTTATTTATTTATTTTGGTCTTTTTGAGACAGGGTCTCCCTATAGTATAGCCCCAGCTGGCCTAGAACTCACTATGTAGACCAGGTTGGCCTCAAACTCACATTGATCCACCTGTCTCTGCCTCCCAAACGGTGGGATTAAAGGCGAGCGACACCACGCCCGGCTCTTGTTTATTTTTTTGAGGTAGGTTTCAGTATGTAGCCCTGGCTGGTCTTGAATTCACAGACATCTGCCTGCCTCTGCCTTCCAAGTGCTGGAATTAAAGGCCTGCACCACTGCACCAAGCTTTTGTAATCAGTTTTGAAAATACACTTAACACACACTGCCGTTCATCACGTGAAAACCTACAAAAAGTCGTTTAGGAAAAATTGACAAGTTGCCTGTAACAACAACAACAACAATTTGAGGTGGAATATTTGAAACAGTCTAGAAAACCATTACCTCCAAAGAATCGTCGTTCAAGCCACAATACCACTCTCGCCAATGTCCGTGGCTCTCTGGAGATTTGGCCAGTACTATCACTGCATTGTTTAAAGAAATACTAATCACGGGATCTTCGGTACTCAATGTATTCTCGGCAGCAAAGTGCAAAGAGAAGGAATAAGCTGAGTCTTGTGTAGAGAAGTATAATTTGTACCGCAGGGGGGTCAGATCCCCGTGAAGACTTTGCGGCTCAATACGAGGCACTTGAACCAGCAGAGTCAAGGAGTCTTCATCCTGAGTACACTTCAAAGGAGGGCACAGAGGTTCGGTGCTCTCGGTCCCCGGGCCACCCATTGCTGGGCTCACCGCTTCCGCAAGCGTCCGGGTGCTGAGATCTCCGGCAGGGGGCTCGTCCCCCAGGCCTGGCGGCAACACTGAGTCCCGACCGAAGTCCTCCAGTGGGCCGAGCTCCTCCTCAGTGCCAGGGCTGGTGGCGACAGTGGAGGCTGCTACCCGGGTTCCCTCTGGACTTTCGGCGGGGCCCTCCCCGGCGGAAGCGCAGGCCGCGCCGTCAGTTCCGGCCCAGGCCGCTGACTCTTCCGGCGCCAAAGCGAAGTCCCGGCGCACGGCGGAGAGCGCCACGGGCAGCGTGACCAGGAGCTGCCGCCGGCTCTTGTTGAACTGCGCTTTGCCCTGGCCTTCCTCCACCGGGTAGGGCAGCGAGAGGCGAAGGCGGTAGTCGGGGTTCCTGGAGTCCAGGCACAGCAGCTTCCCCGTCACCTCCAGCGCCGCCTGCTCGGCCGAGCGCAACAACGGCAGCTCGATGGTAACCACCAGCTCGTGCGGCACGGTGCTCGGGGTCGAGTCGCGCGAGCAGCGGTAGTCCTGCAGGTCCACGTGGTGGCGCTGCACCACGCTGCAGCGGGGCTCAGTGGGCGCGGGCCGCTGCTCCGCCTCGGTGGCGGACCGCGCGTCGGGAGCAGGGGGCGCCGCGCTCTGCACCGCCGCGGGGTACCGGTAGGGGTAGGGCAGGTCCGGGAGCGGGCCCTGCGGCTCCCCCTTGGGCCCGGCCGGGGCGCCCCCGGGAAGTGGTGTGCGCAGTACGGCGGCCTCGGGGGTCCCCTTGTACTTGATCTTCAGGGTCTTGGCGTTCCTGCGGTCCAGCCTGACGCCAAACTGCTTCTCCACCGCCTCCAGGGCCGTGGCGTCCAGCATCTCGCGGAAGCCCTCGTGGCGCCCGGCCAGCGCCAGCGCGTAGGGATGGAAGACCACGTCGTAGACGGTGTAGCGGCTGCCGCTGCCCCCAGCGTACGGGCGGCCAGGCGCCAGGCTGTAGGGCAGCGACCAGTGGCTGCCCGCCGCGGTGCCATCGCGCCCCGGGCCCGGCCGGCTGCTGGGTGCTGCGATCAGCGGGTTGCTGCACACGTTCACGAAGCAGCGCTGCGCCCCGTCCAGGCTAGTGCGCAGCACGTGGCCCGGCTCCGGGTGCACGAACCGCACCTCCACCCCGCGCTCCCGCTCCAGCGCCTTGATCTCCGCCTCGTAGCGCCTCCGGTTCTCCGGGTCCGTCAGTTCCTCGGCGTACTCGGAGAACATTCGGCGGAACTCCGGGTCCTGAAAGGCGGAGGTGAGCCGCTGGACCTCCTCTCCGCTCAGGTCCAAGTCCTCCAGCGCCGAGCTGGCCGCCGCCTTGGCCATGTTGCCCGGCCGCTCGCCCTGGCCGGGTAGGGGAATCAGTCTCACACCTAAGGACCAATGTGTGCCGCTCAGTCTCCGCTGCACTCAGTGTCCCGGCCTGACCTAGGAAGGTAACGGCTGGGGAAGATACTACAGGGCAGCGCGTGCCTTGTTGCCATAGTAACACCACCACCACCTGGCAGGAGGGGCAGCAGCGATCCCTGAAAATGCTAGAGATGGCCTCCTAGGTTTCTTCAGAGACCAGCCACTGTTTCTGCCTGCTGCACTGTTTAGACTGCTGCTGGATACATGTACTTTGCAGCCTATTGTAGTAATTGTCAACATTATCCCGTTTACTGTTCACATTTTAAGACAAACCACCTTCCAGTTTCACAGTTAAGTGCGAAGTTACCTGACCAAAGTATAATTCACAAACTGATTCAAACCTACCTTTTTTACTTTGCTAAAACATTTAAATCTTAATTTTCTTTCCATTTTTGAGTGTTCTACCATACACTTATCCAGTAGAAACTCATGGAGCAAAAGATGACCAGGCTTTTCAAAAACAAATACCAAAGGCCAATAAATACCATTTTTTTAAAAAATGTAAACATAAGATACCACAGGTGACATCAAAATAACAGACCATTTTAGAATTACTTTATTTCCTCAGGATGGGAATGGAATTTTAAATGTACATGTTTCTCGGCTGTTTCTTAAATTCTTAAAAACACATACTTGTTTTACTTTTTTTGTTTTATGGTCTTTTTGAGACAGAGTCTCCCTGTACCCCAGCTGGCCTGGAACATGCTATATAGGCCAGGCTGGCCTTGAACTCACACATACAAGTTTTTTGACCCAGTACTCTTAACAGGTCTAGAAAGAATCTGAGTTCACCAAGGAACTAATGAAGCAGCTTGTGGTAGTAATACACTAGAGGTTTTTTTTTTTAATGTGTATGTGTATATTGCCTGCATGTATATAAGTGTACCCATGTCGTGTAGTGCCCTCAGAGGACACAGAAGGGCGCTGGATCCTGTGGAACTGGAGTTATAGGTAGCATGTGGGTGCTGGGCTTTGAAGAACACCCAGCACTCTTAACTGCCGAGTCATCTCTCCAGTCCCCTACACTGTTTTTGGTTTTTTTTTTTTTTTGGTCTTTTTTGAGACCAGGTCTCCCGGTAGCCCCAGCTGTCCTGGAACTCATTATGTAGACCAGGCTGGCTTTGAATTCTCAGAGATCTGCCTGCCTCTGCCTCCTGAGTGCTGGGATTAAAGACATGCGCCACCACGCCAGGCTTACACTGGAGCTTTATGCAGTCACTGAGAGTGAGTTTCTAGAAATTTTGTTTTGTTATGGGTCTGGGGATGGTGGAACCCAGGACCTCACATCTATAGAATGAACTCTACTACCTAAGCTACACCCCCAGCTCCAAAATGTATTATTGATTGAGGTAGTTATTTGGGTATTGTGAGCTGGTCAGTCCCAGCCAATTTAATGTTTAGCTTCTTATACTCACCACCTATCTCCCCCTGAATCAGCCTAATGGCAGAACACTCTTGACTCTTGGTGGTTGTCCCTCAAATCTCAAGAATTTAAATGTCACCTTAGTAACTCCCTTTTACCTGCTTTCTCACCTTCCAAACATCCTACCTAAAATTACCTGCTTTTCCAAATATTTCACTATGGTTCATATTTAGTATTTGTTTCAAAGTGTAGCCACACTCCTCATCTGAAGATGTTTATGAAATCTAGAACGTTGCCTTTCTAATATAGAAGTGGATTCTCCAGTAGCTAGACTATATCAGGTACTTATATAATGAATGCAAAAGGAAATTTAACACATAAGGTGTGATCCCAAAATATTTCTGCAAGAATGAAATGTATATATAGAGAAGAAATTGGGATGCTATGTATCAGAATAGTAATAGATTATTTAAGTGCAAATATCTAATTTGAGTATGTTTATACATATCTGCATGTTTTTGAGACTGAAGAAAATACTTTTCCTATAAAATAACCAACTTAGAAACACTGTTTGCTGTAGGTTTATTATAATTTAATGTCAAAATTACACAAGATAAAATTAAGCAGAAAATTCATTTCATTTAGTCACATGTCAGAAGCCTTCAAGTTTGCTGAAATAGAAAAATAAAATTTGTAAACATTAGTGTTCATGTCTTAATATTTACTTGTAATTTTAAAGATACACACATTGTTGCAAATTCAAATGGTAGCACTAAAAACATCTCTTGCACCCCACCTCACCCTAAAAAGAGTATACCTTTATAAAGGTAGTTTAATAAAAGGAACGTGTGCTGGTATAGGCCAGTAATCCCAGCAACCTGGAGGCAACAGCAGGACTACTGCAAGTTCAAAGCCAGCCTGGGCTATACAGTTCCAGGCCAGCCAAGACTGCCTCAAATAGAAACACAGAAGAGAAGTCTTCGGTGTGTGTGGGTGTGAGACAACTGTATTACCAGCACTGAAGAGGCTGAAGCAGGATTGCAAGTTCCAGGCCAGCCTGAGCTACTCAAAAGGTCTGGGGAAGGATTGTCTAGCATGCCCAAGACCTTGGGTTCAGCTTCCAGCACCACAGGAAAAAAAAGTGTGTGTGTGCGTGTGTGATTTTATGCTTTAAAAATATGTACATAAGGGTTGGAGAGATAGCGGTTAAGAGCACTGGCTGTTCTTGCAGAGGATCTAGGTTTGGTTCTCAGCATCCACATGGTGACTAACAGCCATCCATAATTCCAGTTCTGGAGATGTGACGCCCTCTTCTGACCTCTGAGGGCATTGCACAGCACAGGTGTATTTACATACATGCAGGCAATACACATACACATAAAAATAAAATATTTTTAAAATGTATATAAGTTGGGGGCTGGAGAGATGGCTCAGTGGTTAAGAACACTAGTTGTTCTTGCAGAAGACCCAGGTTTGAATCCCAGCACCCACATGGCAGCTAACAACTGTCCTTAACTCCAGTCCCAGGGGATCCGACAGCCTTTTCTGACCTCTGCGGGCATTGCAAGACATGGGTACACTTACCTACATGTAGACAATACGTGCATACACAAAATATAATAAAAAATGTACATAAGTGATAGAATGTTGTCAACTATTATATATTCAAGTAGTTCTTTTAAATCACATTTTGTTTGGATTTGGTTTTGTTATTTAATTTCTTAAAAAATTTATGTGAACGAGTGTATTGACTACATATGTATAAATGCACCCCTCTCATGCAATGCCCATGGAGGTCAGAAGGCATTGGATCCTCTGGAACTGGATTTAAAGACAATTGTTAGCTACCACGTGGGTGCTGGGAATTGAAACTGTTCTCTGCAAGAGCAACCAGCCCTCTTAACTGCTGAGTCATCTCTCTAGCCCCTGGTTCTCTTTTTTTTTTTGAGACAGGGTCTCCCTGTAGCCCCAGCTGGCCTGGAACTCGCTATGTAGGCTAGGTTGGCCTCTGTCTCACAAAGATCTGCTGCCTCTGCCTCCAGAGTACAGGGATTAAAGGTGTACGCCACAACGCCCTACTGTTTGTTTTAAAATTTTATGCGTATGAGTGTTTTGCCTGCGTGTAAGTGCACCCATGTTTGAAAGAAAGTCTTACAGGTAAAGCTGGCCTTGAACTCCTGATTCTCCTCTTCTACTTCCCAAATCCTGAGATTACAGGTATGTGCCCTACCCCTGGCTTTCTTTTAGCTTTGATATAAAACTTCTGTTTTTGCTGGGCATGGTGGCGCATGCCTTGAATTCCAGCACTCAGGAGGCAAAGGCAGGTGGATCTCTGTGAGTTTGAGGCCAGCCTGGTGTACAAAGCGAGTTCCAGGCCAGCTGGGGCTACAGGGAGACCCTGTCTCAAAAAGACCAAAGAAAAAACAAACCTGTTTTTATTCATAAGCCCAAGTGTGGAATCACTCCTGTACATCTTAATCTCAAACTCCTTTCTGTTTTTCACACTTAATTACTCTCAAAGTCCTCTCTGGCTTTTACCCCTTTTTATTCTGAGAAACTACAGGGGAGAATGTACATATACCTACTGTATCACCAATATTATATTTTCAGATAAAACTATATTTAAAAGCACATTCACCTCATGAGTGTGTACAATTTGTCAATTAAAAAAAAACAAAACAATTATCCAGGCATTGTAGCACATGCTTTTAGTTCCAATACTTGAGTGGCAGAGGCAGGTAGATCTCTGAGTTTGAGGTCAGTCTGGTCTACATAGTGAATTTCAAGCCAGCCAAGGTTACCCTGTCTTAAAAAGGAAAAAAAAAAAAAAGCCGGGCATAGTGGCACACACCTTTAATCCCAGCTCTTGGGAGGCAGAGACAGGCAGATCTCTGTGAATTCAAGGCCAGCCTGGTCTACATAGTGAGTTCCAGGACAGCTGGGGCCATAGGGAGACCCTGTTTCAAAAAGAGCAAATAATAATAATAATAATAAATAAATAAATAACATGTGTGGGT